CATGTGTCATCCAATTTTATCACTTTCGCTTTAGCTTCGGTCGAGTGACGGTAACTTTAGAATCTTAAATGAAACTTATGGTATATTATGAAATTCTTCGTTAGAAAATTAAATTACAAAACCGGCAATGCCGATTGTTAAAGAAAATTATGCGTTTCGAAATTATCACCTGGGTAAAACCTCGTGGGAGACACTGTATATACACAAATTCGTAGTTAGTTTAGGCTGATTAAAATAAGCACAATACAGGGTGTATCAGGTTTGACTACAAAAATTTTAACACCCGAAAATATGGCCCATTTTGAACAAAAAAGTTTTTGCTACATGAGGTCCAAACTCAACCATTTCTAAAAAAAAGGCCTTTGAACTTTTGTTATTTGATATTTAATTCAATCAATTATTAAGGAATTACGCATTTTTAGTCAACAACAAAAATAAAAAATTGAAAAAACAACATGAAAATTTCACTTATAAATCGGTATCTAAACATCTGGCAACATAGCACAACACACACACTTGATTTGCATTTGTCTTATGTCAGTTAGTTGAACCATTGGAAACGCGTGAAATCCATTCTCTTTTGAAAATAAAATGTTCACAAACGTCGAATATGCAGATACTTGTTTAGGCAGAATCGATGCAAAATGCCCATTTAGCCGTTAGAACTTACAGGGAAAGATTTCCCAAGAGCACCCACCTGATGAAAAAACATTGTGCCCAAAAATTGCGTTATACGGGAAGTGTGAGTGTGCAAAATCTGCGTGTTGATTTGAGTGTTTTGAGAACCTTTCAACAAAAATTAATATTTTCATAAAGAGGATTTGGCAAGTTGCTGAGTAAATATTATTTAATTTTTCTCTTAAACGTTTAGTGCAAAAATGTCATTGAGTGCACAACTTAACAAAACAGCACATTTTTCATTTTTACTAGAAAAGTGATGAAAATTCATTATTATTTACATTATTTGAAAGCCAATAACCAACCAAAACATAAACAGATGGAAATAAATAAACTTGCAAAAAAAACCTTTAAATTTTCCAGTTTTATTTACATTTATATCTTGGCAGAGATAATACCTGTACGATGTTGTCACGTTGTTAACATTGTTCTAAATTTAAATTCTGCGATAACTCCGAAAATACTAACAATTGACCCATGGTTAATAGGACAGTTTTAGCTTGAAATAGACCATATTATCTCATGTTAAAATATTTGTACATATACCTGATACATCTATTCTAATTATTTGGAACTTTACACAATCCATTATTCACCAATTCCATCGTTATCTTCTCTTTTCTTACGTTAACAAATAAAAACATGAAAACATAAATATCCCGGTTGTAAAATCCATGTTTCGACGCCGGCCGGTATCTTACAAAACACATCCGAAATACCCTTTTTTTTCTGGGGGCCTACTATAAAATCCGCCTTCAGGACACTGGGAAATAACGGGCAATTTTTTTACGAATCGGCTGGGAGCTCCATGAAGATTTACTAAGCAGTTAGTGTCAAAAACACCGAACGAATTTTTATCTATAAAAATATTTTAAATAATATCCATCGAAATTGGTTTTCTGGAAGCATTTGAGATTCTTCATATCCCCTGTATATTAAATTAGTCCGACTTAAATACTTTTCCTTCCAATAATTAAATTACATTTTTTCTTCTAAATGTAGTGAAATTATTGGCAAGTAATTATTTGCTTGTGTGCAGGGTGATTTATGTAGCCCGTGCATTAGCTTGCAGGTGGATTAGATGCTATCTTTACTAATCCAACTGCAAACTGTACTTCGTAAATCAGTGCCAGAAGTAGGTAATTTTCAAACCCCTTCCTCCTCGGTAGGTAATATTGAAATGTCATAATTTCGACATTTGTTAAACAACTAATTTTTTGTTCAATTTTCAATGTTTTTGTCTGTTATTTACATTTTTACATTCATTCATCTATCCAAAAGTATTACAAAAGTCTTACAATCTGACAAAAAAAAAAAAACTAGGTAATGAATGAAAAACTATACCACATATTTTCAAATCCAAGGGGCAGTAAATTAAATTAAATGTAAACAAACACCAACTGGTAATCCTGGCTTCCTATTGGTTAATACGCCTACAAGGACCAGTGCGCATGCGCGCAGGACTCCTACCTACCTGATCTAACAATGACCGATTGTTTACGTTACTGCGGCTTGAATTTGAAAATAGTATAGGATACAACACTTATAGATAAATTTTTTGAAAAAGGCACCTAGATGACCTAAAATTTTCCTAAAATCTGTCAATTGAATCAATTCAGATAAAGTAGTCCAGACATTACATGATACCTGACTTATTGTTTTATTGCTAAGCTCTCCATATTGCATAATTTGGTTTAGTGAAGCTCTAAATTATGTCTCAGTCAATTTAGTTACGTCCGAATAAAGACTTACTGACCCAGAAGCCTCTTAACCTATGAAGCCAAGCCTTACGCATGTGACAATGGATTTTCTACCCGAGTGCCAGTATCTAGCACGATGATATCACCGATCGATGAGAAAAATCTGATAAAACTAATGTAGGGATGCCATCACAATCAGGGCGATGCTAGATATCGCTAACACATATAATCAATTTCCATGACTAACTATAGGATCCAAAACAATCTCAGTTATCCGAAATGTATATTCATAGAATCACATAGCGTGGGGCAAACAAGGCTAGGAATTACAGGACCAGACTTACTGGCAACTTGGTTACATGTCTATTTGATTATGCTATTACGATTATTCGTATCTAACAAGCCTTTATAATTTGAATTTCCATTAATCAGGATTGGGTTGTCTTTATATTATTATTTTAATGGAAATAAATTGCTGTTCGTCTAGGTTTTTGTTGTAAATTTTTTTTGTAATACTTAGGCTATTGTGTTTTGAAAATGTCTTCATCAAGGTTCATTTTTCTTTTAGGGGTTCCCTGTAATAAAAGAAAGTTGCTTGAGAAATTTGACATAAAATGATGAGCCATTTGTCAATTTTAGAGGGATATTCGGTCAGATTTCTTTTTTCTTGAAAAGACTCGCGTTTTCAAAGTGATTCAAACCATGTTGAAAGCATCCCTGTGAGTTCTTATCAGGTAAATGTTGAAATAATTGGGGGATTTGTGTGAAAAAATAACAAAATTTAAATGTCAAAAAACTTCCCAAAAAATGCAATAAATAAAGCAGGAACGTATAGAGAAAAAAATTGTTAAATATTATTTTTGAAGTGAAACTTCTTTGCTGGGGGGGTGACAATTTCCAAGCATTACGAAACTTCGGATCTCGTAAGGGGAGTACGAACAGTGTGTCAGCGGCAAATGGAGGGCTGATACCAGCGACGACCAGAGGGGGAATATGCACACGCTTGATTGGGAGACGGCAGGAGCGAAAATGGATGCGTAGCGTAGCCTATGTATATAGCATTTATGTATGTGTTAGTTTGGGTTACCACAGAACAAATAAGTTGTAATTTCTTAATTTTATTTCAATAGATGTATATCCTATAGAATTTTTTGCGTAATTCTTCAAGGTAGAACTAATGAAATATTCATATATTATATCACAAGAGCTTCAAATTTAATCGATTAAACTATCCAACATATTTTGAGCATGATTTTGCTTGGAAAATAGTTGAATGCACAATAACTTAGTAAATTTTATTTAAAAGTTATTGTGCATGAAACTATTTGCCAAAAAGCAAAATTATGCAAAAAATATTGGGATAGTTTAATCCATTTAAATTTATAGGTCGAGTGGTATACGGCTAGATTATTTCCTGAATAATTAGGATTGAATTGTTGGCGTCAATCCTATCCAAAGAGTTATATTTATTATAAAATGTCAGAATATTTCTATCAAAATTCTGTCAAAAAAGGTAAACAAAAATTTAATCGCTGATAAACAAGGTCTTGTGAAATAATCACTTATTTAAACAAAATTGATTCAAAAAATGACGTTGTCTGATGGGTCTATTTTATAATGAATGAAATAATCTACAATGTTCTATTGCGTCAAATACCTCTGAGCATACATACCTAAAGAAAATTTACAGTGACTTTTAATACAGTGGCGACAATAGAGTTTCGCCGTCATATTCTTGTTAATTTCAAATAGGAATCTAGAAGTAAGCCACGCACCCGCCGCCATATTCTTGCTCATTTTCAATATAAATACATACAATTTTGAAGAACCAATCAAAAATAGGACGAAAATTGTCGTCACTGTAGATTATTGAGTCAATGTAAGAAAATTAAACAAAACGCGCCACTTTTAGAAAAAAACTTCATAGTAAAACCAAGGCAACAACAAATATATCCACTCTTAATATTTTCTAGGTGAATATGGACATAGAATCTTTTCACCAAAAAAAAAAAAGGTTGTTTGAAGTTCCTTGCAAAGGAAAAACCTGTATCAAATAAATTTTTATATTTAAATTAAAAATCTGAATCTCCTTTGACAACATCTGAAACCTCTTTCCCGAAAACCCCTGAATTTCAAAACAGGTATCCGTTTACTCTCTTCTAAAATAAAATTCTTTAACGAAACGACAACAGTAGAAACGTTGTTGTCAAAGGGCAGTTTTATTTGACGACATTAAAGTATCTACGGATCGGCAAAGAAAATATTTAAAATTGGAGCTGCTACTACTCTGCTTGGTTACTGCAGCCCGAAGCTGATCGATTTTCTCCTCTTTTCCAGCCTTTTGAGATCGGTTTTCTTTACTCGAATCGGAAATTAAATCACGTCCTTCAAAAGGATCGGGTCGAGATTATCTGCGTATACAGGAAACAGCCGCATTGGCACAATTTTCGATATTTTTGTATGCTTGGTTTAGTGTGCTATACCTAATATCAATGATCTGATTCAATAACTGTAACTAATACTTTGTAGGGGCACATGTTCTGGTTGAATAAACTTTTTACCACCAAGTTTTTTTTAGATATTTATTCAAAAGGTATAAAATGTATTTATATATTTTCATCTTTAACACGGCTTTCTGGTACAAGTTTTAATCTGAGCTTCCTTCTCCCCAGGAGCACATCCTTCTGAAACACAATGCCTCCATCTGGTAGTTTTCCCTACGCCACAAGTAACAGTACATTCTGACCATTTGCCCTAAAATAATGACTTTAAAACCAAAATCGTAGTAAACATCCTTCCTTACCCAATGGTCCCACTGCTTTATATTCTTTTTCTTTCTATAAATCGGATCACTCAGGTCACCAGCATATTCGACATCATCCAAGCTATCATACTCAGTTGGTCCGATGAGTTTGGCTAATGATTTCTCTTGGACAATTTTCTTTATTGAAACTTTGCTTTTCGCAGTAGTTTCAACTTTGAATTTATCAGTTTCATCATGGATTCTTATTGGAGATAAGCTTTTTACAATTCTTTGAAGGTGAGATGAATTGAAAAGGATTATTAGGAGAAAAATTAGAAAGCAGTGTCTTGACAGTGACATCTCGTGAGAAGGTTATTTATGTGCCAAACTCACTTCACTTCTAATTTTGAAAAAAACGAGTTGTCAAGATGTTGTCAAGAAATTTGTTCAAAATGCCAGTATTTCGATTTAAATCAATTTAAATGGACATCAATTTTGAGCTCTTATCGACACTGGCTAAGATTTCTCTTTGATTTCAAGTAAATCCCTAGAATAATTCAAGGATGAAGTTGTTACTTGCAGTATTTTAATTAAAGGAATCACAAATATTATCCGTTCACAATGCGATGTCCACAGGTACAGGTAAAATTTATCACCTCTCAATGCTATTTGATAGGGAAAGGTGATAAATTTACCTGCACCTGTGGACATCGGATTGTGAACAGGATATACAACCATTACAGCAACAAACAAATATACAGCCAACACTAAAATAACTGACATTGACACTTCAGTTAGGTTTGATTTTGTGCCTTGAAAATACCTTGATTATGACGTTTTTATAGATCGTAACCTATTAGCCTATCCAAAACACGTGACTTCGACAAGCAAACAAAGGGTTTGTGTGCCTCTTGGCGGACATTTTCATTTAGGTTTGACAGCATCTAGGAATTGTCAGCCTATCTAAAACACGTGACTTTGATAATCAAACAACAGGTGTGTGCCTCTTGGCGGACATTTTAATTTAGGTTTGACAGCATCTTGGATAGTCTAATTTGAGAATCGAAATTTGGTTACGATAACTGATCACAAAGAATCACGAGATTACGACGGCAACTTCCTGGAATAAATCGAGTCGTATTAGAAGCAAGTTCAAAATTAAGTGCAATCGAAGCTCCCTTAGAATATCAGGCCGATATTCAGAATATTTTACAATATTTCAGTTCTATGATTACAAACGGTACCTACTAAAGTGGGTGCAGAAAATAATGTTAGTCTTAACATTGAATTAGAGAAGGATGTCATTATTGCATGATCACCGTATCGATTGTCTGAAAGCGAGAGGGCACCTGTGCGACAAATAACTGCAGATTTAATGACGAATAAAATTATCCAACCAAGTGAATCTCCTTATGCCAGTCTTGTGATTTTTGTCAAAAAGAAGAATGGAGACTTTAAACTCCGTGTGGATTACCGGGAACAAAATCGACTGTCGATAAAAGATAAATTTCCTCGATTGGGCAAGGGGCAATATTTTACTTCTTTGGATATATCGTCAGGGTTTCATCAAATTCCCATACATGAAGACTCGGTTCAAAAAACGGCATTTGTAATGCCCGATGGCCATTTCGAGTTTTTGAGGATGCCATTTGGCTTCGTGAATGCCCCTGCTGTATTTCAGAGACGCGAGAATCCGGCATTGGGCTTATTAAAAGACTCGGTAGCCCTAGTGTACCACGATGACATTTTGATTCCTAGTTCTACATATGAAGAAGGACTTACCTATTTGCGTCAAATTTTAGAAGTATCGAATGGATGGATTTTCCTTGAATATCAAAAAATGTCGTTTTCTCCAATCTCTCTTGGAATATCTTGGTAGAGAAATTTCAATCGAGGGAATAGGGCCAGGAAAGGCTAAAAACCAAGCATTAGGTACTAGACTCTCCAATTGCGAAAAACGTTAAGCTAGTTAGATAATTTATGGAATTATCCTGTTATTTTCGGAAATTCGTTTCAGTGTATGCTAGCCGAACCGCATGTATAACCAGGTAACAAAACCATTTGAATGAAAAAGTGATCAAGAAGAGGCCAGGATATATGTAGGTAATTAATCATTCGACTTCAAGGCTGCTTCTTGTACTTTACAACCTGAGGCTAGCCACAGAACTTCACACTGACGCAAGTAATATTGGATATGGAGCTATCTTAAAACAAAAACATGAAGGCCAATCGAAAGTGGTATCTTATCTTAGTAGAAGAACAACAGAATACGAAGCTGAATACCACTCATATGAACTCGAGACGTTAGCAATAGTCGAAGTTCTTAAACATTTTCGAACGTACCTCCTCGGTATTAAGTTTACGATAGTCACCGATTGTAATGCCATCAAAGCTACTGAAACCAAAAAGGATTTGTTGCCACGCGTTGTCCGCTGGTGGATTTACTTACAAGATTTTAGTTTTGACATAGTTAATCGCAAGTCGCAAGGGCAGCAGCTTATCATGTCGATTTCTTGAGTAGAAACCCAACTAATAAAATTCGACGAGTAACTCATGACAATTGGGCTTATATTGAACAGAAAGGAAACGAAGAGCTACAACAGTTATTGAAGCAACTAAGTGAGGGAAATTTTGACTAAAATCAATAGCTAGAAAAAGACCAAATGCTTTATCATAAACAACAATGCCGATGGTACTGAGAATTTGCAGTGGCACGTCCCTAGGCTAAGTCGTCTAGGCTTATTTAGAATTTTTAATGACGAACAATGCCATGTAAAAACATATGTCTCAATAAACGGGAATTTTTGGTTTACTCGTATGAGGAATTTTATTAATCGATACATTAAGCATTGTGTGGTGTGTGCAATAAAGAAAAACCAGAACTGGACCCATGCAAGGTTCTATAAGTAATGAAGAAAAGCCAAAAAATCCATTTCATACTCTGCACATGGACTGTTTGGAACCTCTACCTATATCTTCACGGTTTGAAGCATATCTTAGTTATAATTGATGCATTTACCAAATATTGTGTTCTTCTGCCAATGAAAACAGTTACTACATCTGAAACTGGTGAAAAGCTATACAGAGGGTTCTGGCTTTATTTGGCACCCCAAAAGGAATTATAATGGATGCTGGAACTTCCTTTAAAAATACTACCTTTCCCAAATATTTAGATCAATGACAGATTGAACATCATTTCATAACACCATTTATCGTGGTAATGGACAGGTAAAAAGGTGTATGAGAACCGTCATAAATTTATTAAGAATCGAAACTAAAGTCAAGTCAGAATGGTCAAGCGGCTTGTGGAAAATTCAGTTAGTGCGCGTGCACGTTGGCGAGCGGTGAGCGACGAGCGATGAGCGTCGACGTAAAATATTTCAGTAGATCATAGTGTGACACCAACAACAAAAGATGCAGCCAACCAACACACAGTAACAGCACCGTCAAGAACAATCCCCAGCGCAACCAACAATTGAATCACTAATGCGGCAGATGAACGCCCTTCAGCAACAACTGAACACCATGATACGGAACTAAAATTCAACCAATCCCTTGATCAGGGATTCTCACAAGCCGGCCCTGTCGGGATCAAGACACTCTCACCCAGGAAACCAAATCTGGGATAGTCAAGAATCACCTCTCAAGCAAAGATCCGATGCAGGATCACCACAAATTCTATCAGGACCTGGGGATTCCAAAATATGCACATAGATAAATTTTTCCCAACCACACAAATAAATGCTATTTGGACAATCGATTTTAGCAATTACATTAAGTATAATCGAATTTTGATGCAACAGAAAGCTTATTCTGCAAAATATTGATTAATTGGTCATAAAGTGATCCAACGGAGGCGTCCAAGTTGCCGCTGACTGCTTTGAATACTGAACCTATTATGCCTGGGTATAAATTCTTTTTAAATTCTCTACGAGTGTGGAACTATTTCTCCAATTTTGTTCTCGACTCTGCCCTGTAATTTCATAAATTTTATATAATTTATGGCTAAATTGGAATTCATAATGCATTATGGGTGCATTGATCAAAAGTTGTTTTTTTTTTCTTTTTTCAAAACATTCTACTTTTGCTCCTTTGTTCAGAAATTTTGTCAGCAGTTTAGTGATCATGAGTAAATTGTGAAAAAATCTTCCTTGTTCCCTGATAAGCCAAGGATTCCTTCACCTAATAAATTATTGTAGCCCGTGTTGATTATATGATAGAAGCTCCTAGCTCGTGTAACATTTATAATAATATTACAATAAAATATATAGAAACCCCCAAATAAAATCATCTCTTCATATGCTGACTTGTTGGAGGCATTTTAACAGCTTCTTTTTGTTAAGCGCTATATCATTACAAATTAAATAAAAAAACTCTTACATTTATCCTGTCATAAATTTATTAGGTTCAAAAAGTGAATAGCCTCAAGTCTTACAAAAGAGTAAATTTAACGTCGTGAGAACGCTTAAGAAAAAATTTAATTACACAACTTCACCTCTTCTTGCTCTCTAGTGAAAATAATCTCGTTTATGGTCGTTTCTGCATAATTTTTAGATTTATGGCATACATTTTAAATTATTCAACAAAAGTGGTTCTAGAAAGAAATGTGTGAATAGATAATGAGACTAGAGAAACGTTGTTTTGTTTTATAGGAGACAATGGAGGGTGAGAAATTGTGAACGTCAGGTAAGTTCATCTAAATGATTAATCGTTCCAACTAAAAAGGTTATTGTGCGGCATGACGTCGCTTGCAAATGGGCCTGGAACATGAGAATTTATTATTTGCTATTTGCGTTTTTGTGTTTTATGTTATATGGCACTAATGAGTAAGAACTTCAGTTTTCCAGAGTTAAAAAACCTGAGAAAATGTAGAATTCTTTTAAAAGTTTGACTCATGCTACAAAATAAGTGCCAAAACATACAAATAATCAATTGCGATGTTAACTTTCTTCTGCTTATGAAACCAACAACTCCTTACGATACCTAAGCACCACAATTGGAATGTTAAAATATCCTAGAAATGAGAAAACTTTCTGTTCTATGTAACTTTAAAAGCTAAATTCCACGAGGTTTAAGTCTCAAGAGAAAGGTCTCAAACTCCTAGAAGGAAATACCGTATTTTCATTATTTTCTTCTCTGCGGTATTACAAACCGTTCCGCATGTCGGAAATGAGAAATATTTATGATCGCTTTGATGGGATTTACTTTGTTTCGATGCAAAAGCAAACATTGTGCGGAAGCGCCGAATGAAAGGCATCGATTTGCCATCAAAATCTTTTATTCAGCAGAGTATTCGATACAAGTATTTAAAACGGAACACGGAAAGGTGAAGTTTCGATTATAATCAAAAGAAGAACAAT